CTCTGAGTACGATGAGTCTGGCGAACTGCTGGGGACTTTCAAGTATGACGAGAATGGCACACCCATACAGTTCTTCCCCATTCAGGTACTTTCGTGTTTTTCGTGTTATCCATTTGCAAACCTACTCTTCGTTCGGGATCTAATAGAGGTTGATACATATGTTCTTCTTATACTCATTATAGTAGCCATTAATTATTGTTTTTTTGTAGCCCAAAGTCGCCTCCAAAGCGGTGCAATTTATTGAAGTTGCTGTACTCAATAACTATGGCAATCCGGAGTACACATGCATATATCGTCTACGTGTACATGGGTCTGCTGCTGCTGCTGCTGCCACTGAACGCAGTTAATTTAGGTGTTATTTTGGTGTGTAAGGCCACATTGTTTCATATCTAGCATCCCGGATGTAAACTCTCGTGATTACAATGACCCCGTGTATATTGACCCCCCCCCTGTTTTTCGCTTTGTGTGTTCTTTTTTAATCCTAGGACTGTGTTTATGATTATTATCTTTTTTGTCGACTGCAACCTCTTGTAATGCACATAATAAGGCCCAAACGTTTTGAAAATAGCAGTGTTCACAATATTCCTCCCCAGTTCACTAGCACATTTGCCATTTTTTGTAATCTAATATCTGTGTGCCAACTAAATATATATTTACTCTTCAACTGCGTTTATTTCTGTCAAAAGCGGGTCTAAGCTCTCATCCGTGATCCCTGGACATTTGGGCATGTATGATGTTCGTTTGGTTAGCCTGCATCTAGCTCAACTGTGCGTGCGTTTTCCGCCTTCCTATGGATAATCTCATTAACAGATGGATCCATTGGGTTTCAAAGTGAGATTCCCAGCAACATTAGAACTTAACGAGTCGTGAATTGTTATTAGTCAGATTTTCCCCTTCTTTCCAGACGGTTTAGTCAGTCTACAGTAAATAGTCTAACTCATAACATATGAAGGTCGAATTTTCAGGTGATGGCTTAACACAAATTTGGCTTGTTTGTTTTGTTTATTTAATTGACTGGAGGCGCGAAATGCTGCTTAGTTCAGAAGTAAAAAGTGGGTCAACGCCGGCTAATTCCAGCGTTTCTTTATATCCAAGGAATTTCCGACGCTATTAAATGCTGCGGAAGAACACGTAGGCTTTATTTATATTATAGTCGGCAAGATTGATTTTAGAGGCCCAAAAATCCCGTCGACTTTTAATAAAAAAAACTATTAAATATTCGGTAGCCTGACTTTTATCTTTTCGTGTAATTCCACCAATTCCATTTTTGTAAAATTTCGCCCATGTAAGGTCAATCTCCCTCGATTAGCATTCGTAACCATGCGCAATAAAAGTTTATGTAGATCGAATTTTATTCCATTTTGGCGTATTAAAACAAGCAATCTTATTTAATTTAATATTTTTTGATCACTTCCGCCACAATTACGTATTAATTTACTCTCCATAGCCAAGAATAAAATGTTTGACATCAAAATACGTTAAGCAGTTGGGCGGGGGATACATATCTTGTCTAATAGAGAATTAAGAAAATGGAAAATTATATTAATTCATCTAAGGAAAAACGCATGGTTTTCGGGAAATTAAAGACGGATTCGCTTAAAGAAGATCCGTTTTTTGCAAACCTGTTACGTTATGCGCAATTAAGTAATAAGTTTGTACAGCTGTAGTTTGTTTTACCACACCGGGAATAAGGACCCTACACAAGCTTAGCTATGAACACGCACGACAGGCCTTCGCTTTTAAATGTCACGTCATGAGCGAACGATGCTCAAGAAATTTCTAGTCGCACTTGCTTACGAACGAATACAGAAATTTGCAACAGAGGGGGTGCCGCGTGAGTCGTTAGCAAGTTAGCCTGAATTTGTCCAATACTGTCTTGCCTTTTACTACCCCATAATAGCTCCGGTCTAGAATTAATAAGCCTGGTTTAGTGGTAGTATCGCTTCTCTCAGGACGTGTATGTCGTCACCCAACTTAGTGTCGGACTCTTGGCATTAACCGTATTGGGTACCGTGTCCTTTCCTGAAGTACTCTCCTTCCTTCTGTAACTCAACTGCGCTGTCGACTTAGCATTGGAATACTCGCGCTGTGTGCAGCCGCTTGTTATCAAATCCCAGGCGAATAAGC